AGAGACAATCTCTTATCACGAAAGAAAAAAGATGAAAGGCATTCAGCCTCACTGGAAATTCAAATTAAAATCTCAGTGTCATATAATTTCATGGTTAAAAGACTGGCAAAAAATAAAAGGTCTGACAGTGTCAGGTATCAGCAAAAATGTGAAGTTAAAGGAATTCCCAGGTAAAGCTGACAGAAATGTAATTTGGTTGTACCAAATTTTTGTATCAAGTTTTGGACAAAACTTGATGATATCTGATAAAACGAAATGAGCATAATCCTGGACCAGCAATGCCTCTCCCAAGCTCTTCCATTGAGCACTGTTTGCCAAATGCAGGTTGTGATCAACTTTTCATTGGTCAAGAAATCAATTCAGGGGGCGCCTGGGTGGCTCAGTCAGTTAAGCTGCTGCCTTTGGCTCAGGTCATGATCCCAGGGTCCTGGGACTGAGATCCACATCGGGCTCCCTGTTCAGTGGAGAGCCTGCTTCTCCCTCTCCCTCTGCCTGCCACTCTGGCTATTTGTGCTCTCCCTCTCTCTCTCTCTCTGTCAAATAAAAAAACAAAATCTTTTTTTAAAAAAATCAATTCAGTAGGTTGAGACCAACATCTTTGATAGAAGATCAAGGGCAGATACAGCTTCATGAAATGTCTGCTTCTATTATTTATAATTTACTCATATAAATATTTAATAGCTGAGTATTTAATAACTGGGTTTTAATGTAAATTTTATTTATTACCATAGACTATGGTCTGAAAGCCACTGTCCCAGAGAAACTGTTATGCCTATTCACCAAAAGACATGTACAAAAATGTTATTTGTGATATTTTTTAATAATTAAAAGTTGGAAGGGCACCTGGGTGGCTCAGTGGTTAAGCCTCTGCCTTCAGCTCAGGTCATGATCTCAGGGTCCTGGGATCAAGTCCCACATCAGGCTCCCTCCTCAGGGAGCCTGCTTCCCCCTCTCTCTCTGCCTGCCTCTCTGCCTACTTGTAATCTTTCTCCGTCAAATAAATAAATAAAATCTTTTAAAAAAAAATTAAAAATTGGAAATACAACTGGGCATAAGTAGAATGAATAGTTAATTACAATCATACAATGGAATGCTATATAACAATGAAAATTAGTGAACCAGAGCTACAGATAACAACACAGACAAATCTCAAAGCATGTTAATAAAAGCGACTTACAGAAAACATGTACAGTATGGTGAACATTTAAAAGAACATTTAAAAGCATACAAAAAAATTACTTGATATTGTTTAGGGAGGGGTACATACATATATGGAAAAGGAAACTGACATGCATTGGAATAAACACTGTACTCAGAATTGTGCTTACCTCTGCAAAGGAGGGAGGGAATGTGATGGGGGAGGGTTATACACTAGGCCTTAACTATATTTGAAGGGTTTTTATTTATTAAGTTGATTGGTAGATATACACACATGTTGGTAATATTATTTCCCATTCTTTTCAGACTGTCTGAAATGTTTCACAATTGTTTAAAAGGGAAAGCTACCATATAAACAAAAAAGGCACTTGGTCTGAAATTTGTGAAATCTCCCAGAAAAAGATCAGTGACTTTAAACTACAATAAAACAAGCAAACAAAAACTTTTCTACATCAAAAACAGACAAGTTTTCTGATAAGATAATGAAGTGGGTAATGCATCTGTTTCATCTTTTCTATAAGATTTGATGGGCAAAGCAATAAAAATACACAAAATGAGGGGCGCCTGGGTGGCTCAGTGGGTTAAAGCCTCTGCCTTCGGCTCAGGTCATGACCTCAGGGCCCTGGGATTGGGCCCCGCATCGGGTTCTCTGCTCAGCGGGGAGCCTGCTTCCTCCTCTCTCTCTGCCTGCCTCTCTGCCTACTTGTGATTTCTGTCTGTCAAATAAATAAATAAAATCTTTAAAAAAAAAATAAAAAATACATAAAATGAGTAAACCCAGGGAAATGCAAAAAACAAGAGAGTCATCTTTAAGAGATCCACACTTTGGATGAATTTCAGGAAGCTGGCAAGCAGACAGGATCTTATTAGTGATAACCCCAGACAAAACCACAGCGCTGAACTGGAAAGAGACATGCTGCTCAGCAGTGTCCGCAGTCCTCTCCTACCGAATGCCGTTTTACTTGGTGCTCACACTCAGAACACGCAGACAGCAGAAGTGGACGGTGGTTAACTGTGGCTAAGCAAGTAGATGTGTAATGAAAGGTCTGTCTACTCAACCGCTCTTCCCGGAGCAGCAGCAAACCCACCCCAGCCTCAGCCCACTCCCACCCCTGCCGCGCGCACACACAGGCAATGGACAGAGCAGCCGGCTGCAGAAAGCCTCAGCCAGAGCTTCAGGATCTGTCCTCTCAACAAAATGAGAGCATCTGACAAGGAAGGATGGAGCATGTGGGTGTTTTAGCCATGGAGACGGTTAATAACTGCTACATTCGAACTAGAGGCGGAAAAGGAATGGCAGTGTCATCCCACACAGAAGATAGTAAAGTCCTTCTATCCCCCAAATAGCCATTCTCTTATTTTGGCAATTACAGAGTGAGCCTCCCTTTTCCCTTCCACTCACTCTAAAGGGAAGCCTGCCAATGTGTGGGATTCGACAACTTACACAAATCCAGTGATCATTTTAGGGAGAGATCTTGGAGTTAAAAAGACCTATTCAGCTGCGCAGGAGATCCAGTCACTACTTAACACAGTTGTTCATCTAAGGATTACCAGCCACTGAGGAAAATCAAAACCGTGAAAGAAAAAACAGAATGAAAGAATAAGTGTGATAACTGACCCTAGAGAAATGAAGAAACACTGAAGGAAAAAAAAAAAAAAAAGAACCCTCAGTTTTAAAAGTCTCTTGGCTGTTTTAGGGAAGGATGCTTTGAAAAAGAAACAAAAGTTGGATCCAGTCTTATGTAACCTTACATGTATATTCAAATTTCCCATAAATTCACATGCGTGGTACTTATCATCATGATGACACCGTACACATCATATTTACTAAATCTTTGTAACTTTTAGAAGTTAATACAATTTCCTTTTCCATAGATGTTGGCTGCTGCCTAAGCTGTAACAGTAATGGTCAGACATAATACTCACTGGGAAATTCAGTAAGCAATTTCCTGGATACACATTATGTACTTTCCAAATGAAAGAACACAAATGGGAATATGCAAAAGTCAATAGATTTCTGTGCCCCACTCTACCAAAGCTTTTTGGGTTCTTAGCATACCCAAGGTCCTGAGGACAGATCAACTCCAGCCTGAGCCGTTCCTAGACACTCAGCAATGTAACAGATTAACTCAATCTGGAGGTCTTTTAAAATAAACAAGCCATGTCCAATATTTGAATCCAATCTGGGGAGGGCCTGACAGAATTGAGGGGCTCTGGAATAAATCCATTTCTTGGAAAAGGTTCTGAAATTATCCCAACCTCCTAGAAGATGTGAGCATTACTGAGCTCTGATTTTTCTGGGAAAACTTTAAAATGAAACCAATCTGTACAATGAGGCCTAGAGATAAGGCATCATCTGTCCCTCAACCTTTCCAAGTATACCATTTATATTACACTTAATTATTTACTAAGGAACTCAATGTCTCAAAGAAGTTAAGAGTTAGATTGTGCCCTTAAAAAGAGTTAGATTTGGGGCCCCTGGGTGGCTCAGTGGGTTAAAGCCTCTACCTTCACCTCAGGTCATGATCCCAGGGTCCTGGGATGGAGCCCCACATCAGGCTCTCTGCTCAGCGGGGAGTCTGCTCCCCTTCCTCTCTCCCTTCCTATCTCTCTGCCTGCCTCTCTACCTAATTGTGATCTCTGTCTGTCAAATAAATGGATAAATAATTTAAAAAAAAAAGAGTTAGATTTTTCTTGAATGATTTACAGAGAGAACCTAGTACTTTTCTATTGCATGTAAAGAAAAGAAGCTTGTTTAAAAAAAAATGTTTGTTTTTATCATTAGAAGTCTTCTCAGTCTGTATCACATAATACAGTCAAAAGTCCTATTTCTGGCGATGCCTGGATGGCTCAGTTAGTTAGGTGGCTGTGTTTGTCTTGGGTCATGATCCCAGGGTCCTGGGATTGAGTACCACATTGGGCTCCTTGCTCATTGGGCTCCTTGCTCAGCCTGCTTCTCCCTCTGCCTGCCACTCCCCCTGCTTGCATCTCTCTCTCTCTCTCTGACAAATAAATAAATTTTTTAAGCTATTTCTAGTGCTCCTCGCATGTGCACAAGTACAAAATACCTGAGCATCAGGCTGTTATTTCATTGCTGAACTTGAGTAAAGCTATAAATCTAATGAAGTTCATCTTCAGAGTTCCAAAGTGGCCTTCCTGTAGTTTTGTCCCCACAGTGGAAACTTCTTTCCTCCTGCTCACATGCCAGCTCCTGACCACCTTAACGTCCTTCTTCAGATTCAACAAGCTAAAAAGGATCCTAGAAATAATCTAGCCCAAGACCCTCACTTTAGAAAAAAGTAAACTGACGCTTATAGAGTTAACAATTTACCCAATGTCACCCAGCTAATGAGAGATGAAGCTGTGACCAGAACGAGGTCTCTGCTGCCCTATGCAATGCTTTTTCTACTATACCAGCCTGCCTCTGTCAACCCTGCAAAGGAAATGATATTTATGTATGTCTTCCCAGTCCTTGGCTTCTCCTCTCTGAGCCTTTTCCCTCCTGGTACAACAATTTATCAACTTTAAGTTACCAATAACCTTCTTTCTTATTAATTCTATTACCATGATAAAACAGGAAAGAATTCACTACTCATTTATATTAGCTAATGCATTTATTGATAATACTTGTTTCTAATTTTACATTTATCTTCTAAAATGAAAAACACCTTAATATTTCCCAAATTAAAACATAAGGCTTAATAATCATATGCACAATTAAATTCAGAAAAGAACTGAGTTACTGTAGATTCTTACTTTACATAAAACAATACCATAACATTTATTTCATTTCCTTAGAAGAAAAGGCAGAGATCACATATCGATTCCATTTTAATACTCACCACAAAAGTGATTTGATTGTGTCGCAGGTTAAGTTCAGTTAGTGAATCCAGCCCATTAAGATTATCAACATGACTTAAAAGGTTCCTAGCAAGATTTAAAACTCTCAAATCACACAAATGACTGACATTTTCAATTTTGGTAATCTGTTAAAAAATGAGAAAGAGATAATTAGCAGGCATTGTCATAGATATGCATGTTATAAAAACCCTAAAAATAAAATACATAGTCACTGGATTCAGTGACAGGTTTACATGAAGATACTTAAAAATGTATTTCCAGGGGCACCTGGGTGGCTCAGTCCGTTAAGCCTCTGTCTTTGGCTCATCCCGAGAATCTGGGATCAAGACCCACATTGGGTTCCCTGGTCAGTGGGGAGCCTGCTTCTCTCTTTGGCCCTCACCCTGCTCTCATGCTCTCTTTATCTCAAATAAATAAATAAAATCTTTTTAAAAATGCATTTCCAAGTTCCTCTGTTATAGATAAGAAGTCATTTAACTTGTGAAAATTAAATAAAGGTATATATTTTATAATTTCATCATAGTAAATATTTGCAGTAAATTTTATCAAATAGTCAATAAGTCCATCCTTGGGGCATCTCTAATTGCCAGGTCCAGATAAAAGTGACAAGAGCTAAAGGCGCCTGGGTGGCCACAGTCATTAAGCGTCTGCCTTCAGCTCAGGTCATGATCTCAGGATCATGGGATTGAGCCTCACAGGGAGCCTGCTTCTCCCTCTCCAACTCCTTCTGCTTACGTTCCCTCTCTCGCTGTCTCTCCCTCTCTCTGTCAAATAAATAAATAAAATCTAAAAAAAAAAAAAAAAGGTGACAAGAGCTATACATACTACCTGCCAAATAAAAACTTACTGCAAGCTCAAGGCCAAAGCTCACAAAATTTTGACCAAGCAAGGCAGCCCTCTGAGAGAAAAGGCAAGGAAAAGGAATGTTACCACACCCTCCTTGTTCTCTCCATTTATACTGCAGGATCCTGAAAGCCGTCAAGAATCTAAATGGAAAAGATACAACAAACTAGGATCCCAAGTGGAGACGGAGGATGGATATTCTTTATTAGTGAAAGTGCTTAAGAGAAGAGACAGATAACGTGTAGCCAGAGTTCAATATGGTAGACATTAAGTGTTCAGAACAAGAGGACTTGAGTCACGGAATAGGCACGTGCACGTAGTCTCTGGCCCGCAGCAGAGGAGCTCTGAGTGGCACGGCAAGGTGGGGTAAGGAAAAGCTATGCCTATGAACTGATGAGAGCACAACAGGATTTTAAGCTCCGCCAGTGTAAACGCGCAAGCACAGTGCAATGGTTCTCTAGGACACGTAAGTAGGGGTCCTTGCAGGGGGACTTCGTTGGTTGACTTAACTACTTAAGTTAACAATGAGTCAGGCACGTAACACTTTTCTTCCAAACATTAAAAAAAGTTGCCACAATCACTAGAGGTTAACTTTCTCATCTGTACTGTCAGCCCAGTACAGATGAGAAAAAATCTGAAATTTTTTATTCAACATTCCAAAGCGGATGTCAGCTAAAAGGACGTTTTCTTCGATTTATAATCCAGTTTGTATGTTGTTATTGGACCTTCTCTTACATTCAAGAAATACCATCTAGATTCCATCTAGGTTCAAAAGGGAAAACCTATGTTTATTATAAACTCAGTAATATATAAAGGTGACATCTGACTATGCTTTAAAATTTGTCCTAAGATTTTGGTCTAACGTAAAATGAAATCAGTGAAAGCTGTCAAAGAAGAAACAAGGTTATCCATATCTGAAGATGACAGAACTATGTACAATGAGATGTGGACAAAAGCATTTCAAAACTAAGTAAGTGACAGAATTTTAAATGTAGAATCAGCAAAAAGCAAAACAGACACTGTGAGAAATCAGTAATGTCATCATAAGTTTGAGAAATTCTCCTAAAAACCTAAGGAAAAATGGCGGTAGGAAGAATGAGAGGCAAGATGGGGATATGGAAGACAAACAATATAGATGTAACAAACATGAATGGAAAAGCAATATTTAAATATATAAAATAAAACTTTCCTGTGAACAGGAAAGTTTAATAAAAATATATAGAATGAAGGGGCATAATTGTTAAATGACATACATAATTAAGTCTTCCCCCTTCTGGTACTAAACCTGGGGCATTTCTTGTAGAAAACTACCTTTCTCTAATTCTTTGGTCCTGGTGGGACTGATAATTAGAATGCCGACATTGTAGGCATTGTAGAGTTCCCTTTTATTTAGTTTGGTTAACTCTGAAAAGGAACATTATTAATTCTAAAATATGGGTATCAAGATGTAAGTTTTAAAAAAATCACTGGGGATATCGTTCAGCTTCTTGGTTTGCAATCAGATAGGCCAGAATAGTCTGCAATGTATCTGACAGAGCCTATTATGCATTGCAGTCAGGGACAAAGACACGGGGAATGATAAAAATTTCAGGCAAAAGGTCATGTGGGGTGAGAGTACAGCTTTTGATTAGGTAATACACTTCACAGCAAGAAGAAATGATGCGAATGTCGGAAAGTCCAATCGTAGGCCATACTGATCAGAGAGAGGGTCTCCAGGAGACTGCACGGCTTCTCAATACACCTAGGAAAGCTGGATACTCAAGGCTCCTCTTTATGTGTAAGAGTAACCCAGACCGCTCTGTCTGGATAAAGACAACCTTCTGACTCAGCAATGCTGAAAGGGCAAATGTCTGCTTTCAGTCAAGCAGTCACAGAAAGGGCAAGCTCTCCCTGAAGGAAAAGATGGCCTTGAAAGAACAGATCCTTCCTGAAGCACATTTGTGTCCATGTTAAAGTAAGCTTTCACGGAGAGAACGAATTCTGGAAGACCAAAACAAATCTACCTCAGAATTTGAGAGCCGACCTCTCAGATTCCTCTGTTTTCTTCACTATTCAGATATAATCAATTGCTAAATCTTGATGTTTCCTTTTTTTTTTTTAAGATTTTATTCATTTATTTGACAGAGGGAGAAAGAGCACAAGTAGGCAGAGAGGCAGACTGAGGGAGAGGGGGAAGCAGGCTCCCTACTGAGCAGGGAGCCCGATGTGGGACTCTATCCCAGGACCCTGGGATCATGACCTGAGCCAAAGGCAGACACTTAACCGACTGAGCCACCCAGGCGCCCCATTGATGTTTCCACTTTTTAAATATTTATCCAATCTGTCCTCTTATTAAATCCCTATCGTTACTACTTCAGGTCAAGCCACCATCACTTTTCACAAAGATTATTGGATTAGTCTCTCAACTGTTCTAGCACAAGTTTAACTTTCCTCCCACTCTTTCCATCCCCCAATCTATCTCCTGAACACTATTATCATTCCTCAGACCATTTCCACATCCATAAACCAATTACGTTTATTTCACAATGTACACCAAGTATCATTTTTATTTCTGATGAAAATAAACTCTGAAAATAAAAAATATTCACTTAAATTTTTTTAGGTTTTTCACTACCTGATGCTTTTTTTTTTTTAAAGAATTGGACATTGTTTGATGTTGAATAGTTTATCTCCTGACTTTTTAGAAGCCCAAGGTTACCAATGCTATCTTTGCTTTGAAATATTCTAAATTTCTGCTGAGCGGATTTAGATATTTTGAAAGAAGACATGGATTTTCATGTAAAGCTTCCTTCTTGTAGTTATAGAGCCTTGAGAAATAATTTGTGTGGTACCAATATTTAATCTCAATACATGGAATAAGTACAAACACAAAGCTGAAATTATATGACATAACACAGGTCAGCTAACAAGGAATAGAGCATTTTTTTATCAACATAATAGTTGGTAAATAATTCCCACACATCACATATGGATCAAGTGATATGTTAGTCATATACCGGGATCCCTCAGAGATCTTGTGTAATGCCCATAATTCTTAAAGGTAGGGGTATCTGGATGGTTTAGTTCCATTCAGGTCATGATCTCAGGGTTCTGAGATTGAGCCCTGCGATGGAGCCTCCTTAAGAATCTCTCTTTTTCTCCCTCTGCCTCTCACCCCAACTCTTGCTCTAAAAAATAAATAAAATAAAATAAAATATAATAAAAATAGAGAAAATGAATTCTTAAAGGTATATTATAATGTGAAAGCTACATAAATATGTTTAATTATATATATACATTTTAAAATAAACTTGAAAAAATTGTTACCATAAAATGCTGCAATTAGTTATGAATAGTTTAAAAAATAGTGGGATACCAAAAAAAATGAAAAATCAGTAAATAAAAAAATAAAAATAGTGGGCTACAAGACAGAATAGCAATTCCTCAGGTGTGGCATACAAAACCATCCACAATCTGGCCTTTCCTTTTCTCTCCCCTCATTTCTCACTGTTCTTCAACATATGCTAAATTCTCAAGCAGTAAAAAATACCCTGTTGTTTTTAGTCTCAGTGCTTTTGCATATGATATTCTTTTATTGATAAACTCTTTATTCTTCTTCCCCTTCCAGCTTTACCTCACTGGGTAACTTCTCTACTAGAGTGACACTAACCAGCCTGCAGAGCTGGACAATTCCCAGGCTACCAACATTCCTCCCATTCTGTGCACATACAGACACACAACAGATGGGGCTGGGTGAGATTAGAACCTAGCAAATGTGGTCTATCTAGATTTATCAAGGTTTTCATTCATTACATTAGCTTTTCACCAAAACGATTGGGACTCACAGCTGTTAGAAAGCCTAGAGAGATCAGACTGAAGTTTGCACTTGACCGACTGCAGGTGTTTCAACAGGTAGGGACTCACAGAGCACCCAGAATGTACACTTACCACCTCAAGAGAGGCACTACCTTCTGCATGAGTATGTAGCTCATGTAGCTGGTCATAAATAAATACATTTCAAAGACAAAAATTTCAATGGAAGAGCAAAGGACCAAAAAATAGCCAAGAGGCTCTGAGAGAGAAGGAGGGGAAACATAACAAACTAGAGAGAAAAATTCAGATAGACAGACACAGAGGCAGACAAAACACAAAGAGACATTATTTATACCATTTTAACTGACAAAAATTAAGAAGTATGACAATTCCAGAGCTTTGGGTGGTGGCCGCTGCTGGCTCTGCCTTCCCTTCGGAGAGGGCAATGTGGCCTGGACAGCAGTCCTGGCCCCCGGTGCCCCAAGCCTGCCACTTCTTGCCTCAGTGCCCTGACGCCACAGCAGCCCAGCCAGTGGCCCAGATGCAGCCACCAAGTGTGTGGTGGTGGGAAACGGAGCTGCAGGTCAAAGTTGCCCCCCACTTGGTTAAATCAATAATTCCCATGAGAATACATCCCCACTGCCTCTGACAATTATTGTGCCAATGTTATGGTAGATGGAAAACGGGTGAATCTGGGCTTATGGGATACAGCTAGACAATATAATGATCGATTATGTCCCTTATCCTATCCACAAACAGATGTGGTCTTAATTTGCTCTTCTCTCGTGAGCCCTGCATCATTTGAAAATGTTCAAGCATGGGTACCCTGAAGTATGGCACCACTGTCCCAACACCCCTTCATCCTGGTGGAGCCAAACTTGATCTCAAGGACAATAAAGATGTGATTGAGCAACTGCAGGAGAAGAAGCTGATTCTCATCACCTAGCCACGAGGTTTGACCATGGCTAAGGACATGGGTGCTGGAAAACACTAAAGTGCTCGGCTCTCACGCAGTGAGGCCTCAAGACAGTGTTGGATGAAGATCTTCAAGGGTTCTCTGTCCTCCTCCAGTCAAGAAGAGGAAGAGAAAATGCCTGTTGCTGTAAATGTCTGGGCGCTTCTCCTGCCCTGTCCACCTTGGAAACTTCATATGCTTTGCTCAAAAATGGGAGCCTTTGCACATGGTGCCAAGTTTTTGTTACAGATTACTTTTTCCATAAAACCATTTCAAATGAATCAGTCATTTCTAGGTTTTATTTGTTTAAAGTGTAAGAATTCAAACTTTCACCTTATAGTAAAATTTAGCCCTAAAATGGCAAGCTTTCTTAAAGCCTTATTTTTCAAGAGCTCCTATTCTTGCTCAGATTAAGAGTTGCCAAAATAGCTTGTGAACTAAGTTGCACTGCTGTGCTGAAAACACTAGGCATTAAGTCATTCAAGATCTCTGTCATTAAGAACAGACCGCAGGAAAACAGTATGCAGGGTCCTCAAAAAGTTAAACATAGAGCTACCCTATGACCCAGAAATTGCACTACTCGGTATTTACCACAAAGATACAGATGTATCTTTGAAAATAGAAAGATATTCGTGAAAAGAAGGGGCATATGCACCCCAATGTTCATAGCAGCAATGGACACAATAGCCAAACTGTGGAAGGAGCCAAGATGCCCTTCAACAGATGGATGGATAAAAAAGATGTGGTACCTTGGAACACTGCATCAAAAACTAATGATGTATTTTACAGTGACTAACATAACACAATAAAAAAAAAAAAGATGTGGTCCATATATACAATGGAATATTACTCAGTCATCAGAAAGGATAATACCCATCATTTGCACTGACATGGATGGAACTGGAGGAGATTACCCTAAGTGAAATAAGTCAAGCAGAGAAAGACAATTATCAAATGGTTTCACCCCTATGTGGAACATAAGGAATAGCACAGAGGACCATCGGGGAAGGGAGGGAAAACTGAAGGGGGCGGTAATCAGAGAGGGAGAAAAATAATGAGAGACTATAGACTCTGGGAAACAAACTGAAGGTTTCAGAGGGGAGGGGGGTGGAGGGACAGGGTAGCCAGGTGACGGGTGTTAAGAAGGGCACGTGTTGTGATGAGCACAGGGTGTTATCCACAACTAATGAATCACTGAACGCTACATCAAAAATTAATGTGTACTCTATGGTGGCTAACTTAACATAATAAAGAAAAGACATGTTTATATCAGAAAACCTGAAAAACACAGAAAATATGAAGCAGAATACACAAATCCCCTAAAACCCTAACACCTAAAGATATTTTCTGGTCACATTTGGTATAGTTCATTACCAAAAAAATCTTATTTTTCTTTCTTAAGAAAAAAAAAAGAAGAGACTGCAGAGTCTCAAGTTTGGAAATGCAGACACTTCCTAACTAGTTTCTGATGAGAAAGCAGCACAGCCTCCTCCATGAAATGTTGCCATCTAGCACACCAGTAACTTACAGCCCGTATCCATTCCCTAACACTAGACTTTACATCATAACAGAAATGAGTGTAAGGACTCAAAACTCTTTAGATCAATCTTTTTGATTTTGTAGTGATATTTTTAAAAAGATTTGTTTATTTTATTTTAGGGAGTGGGGGAGGGGCAGAGGGAAAAGAGAATCTCAAGCAGACTGCATTGAATATAGAGCCCCACTCAGAGTTCGATCTCACCACCTGAGCTGAAACCAGGAGTTGGATACCCAACTCACTGCACTACTCAGGCGCCCCTGTAGTGAGATGTTTTTTAAAAAAAAACTTAGGGTATATGCTATTGCTGAGATTTTGAACAGACTTCTTACTCCCACATCCCTCTGATGAAGTATCTGGTCTGGCCACGGGCGCACCGGGTGGGGTGTGTGCAGCACGGGAGGTGATCAAAGAATGAAGACAGTTATTTTGACAAAATATGGAGGTTAATTTACACTACCCTGTACACAGCATAATTAAACTGAGTAAAAGTGTCATGGATAAAATTTTAAAAGGTTAATCTCTGTCAAATGCAGTAAATGATGAGGAAAGATTGGTATCATCATCGTTTTAGGCTTTGTCATAGACCTGCTATCCCTCCTGAAATTGGGCATTTAATTCATCTTTGAACTGGTCATTTCTATAGTTGCTAACTTAGTGCTTTTCTTATAGAATCCCTTCTTACTGACTCCCTGTATTGTAAAATCTTCCTGATAATGTATTAGAAATTTTTTTGTAGATTAGCTAAAAGTGCATTCCTGTTTCCTTGTTACTTTACTCAAAGCTAATACTCACTTTCCTTTGTTTCCCAGTAACTAGGTACAAAAACGATGTGTTGCAGCTTCACAGTTTTTAAAATATTTTAGATATTCCTAAACTATGAACTTTCTTAACATCCCTGCCTTGTCAGATCACCACCACGGTACCTTGACTAAAGCTGACCCTCCTCTTTGTCTCACCCCCCTGGACACACACTTCCTGTTGCTCTGCCTAACCATCTTCCTCTGGGTCTGTGAGGTTCTGGAAACCTGTGCTCATGCTAATGAAGTTCTGTACAACTTACATACTGGCAAGAATATAAGGTTGGAACTTTCAACTACTAGAACGACATTTCTTTTAATTGACAGTTGTAGAATTGTGGGGTGACCTTACATAGATCTTTCGCTAATGTAATTAGCAGTATGTTTTGCATGTATGACTTGATTAATCCTTGAGTCATAAAAAAAAAAGAAGTATAACAATTCCAAATGTTGAAAAGAATATGAAGCAACAGGATTTATCCTGCCTTACTGGTGGGAGTATAAACTGGCACAACCACTCTGGAAAACAATTATACCTATATATAGGTATATATATATATATATCTCCTATACACTATACCCTAGAATACATATGATATGTGGAAGAAACCCATACAAGAATGCTCTTAGAAGTGCTATTCCTAAAAGGAAACAAACAAACAAGAGGAAACAACACAAATGTCCATCAATAATAAACTGGAGAAAAAAAAATTTTCATATAATCATTCCATGGAACTTACAACAGCAAAAAGGGACAAACTACAGTTACTCAATCAAAATATATTAATCTCAGTAAGCTAATGTTGTACGCAAAAAGCCAACACTAGATGACAATATATAGTGATACTTTTTTAAAATTACAACATAATACTACTAAACAAGGTATTATTTAGACACACATATGTAATAAAACCAACTTTAAAAATCCACAAGGGGATAATAAATGTGAAATCCTGGATAGTGGTGGCCTCAGAATAAAGGGGGAATACCTAAGTAGAAGAAAATCTTCAGTAATATTCTAGTTGTTAGGCTAGAGTTGGAAAATATGTTTTAAAAATAATAAAAAACTAGGGGCACGTGGGTGGCTCAGTCAGTTAAACATCTGTCTTCAGCTCAGGTCATGATCCCAGGGTCCTGGGATCGAGCCCTCTGTCGGGCTCCCTGATCAGTGGGGAACCTGTTTCTCCCTCTGCCCCTGCCCCTACTCATGTTCTCTTTCTCTCTCTCTGTCAAATAAATAAAATAAAATAACAAAAAATAAAAGACTAAGTAAGAAATGAAATTATCATAACTATTCAGGATTCCAAATGTTTTTACAAGTTTCATCTGTCATTTACTGCTAAGGAATTACCGTATCTTAAATACAAGGGTTTAATACCTTAGAAATTTCAGTAAATCAGTAAAGTAACTCTTGAAATACTTCAAACACAAGTACCATTGTTGAAACTTTTATGATACCAAACTTTCCTAGACTTTTTTCCTAAAAAGAAAGAAACAAAGGGGCTTTACAATACCTGATTTCCATGAAGGTCCAGGACATCTAAGCTTTTGAGGTTCTCCAGATTTGAAATTCTCTTGATTCTGAAAATCAAAATAGAATAGAAATATGGATGCATCATATTTATTGTAAATCAATACATGCTAAGGCATACATAACTCATTTTAATTTACTCTTTCTCTCTATAGATAAGTAGGCAGATATAGAGAGAACTATAGTATAGACAAATCTATATAAATATATATGTATAGAGAGATTACATGTAATTATATATAAATATATTTTATATTATGTATATAAATATAAAACAAAAACATACTTCCTATTGATTTAACTATAATGTTAAAGATGCAATCCCATTGGGGGAAATGTCCCAAAGACAGGTTAAAAGTTGTATCTTTAGGCAAAAGCAATTCTACTTCTAAGAACCATAGGACAAGGCACTTATTTAAGGCGGTTCCCTTCAGAGTATGATCTAAACTCCTTACCTCAGTTCTCAAGCCCCTAAACCTGATGGCTGCTGACTCTTCCTCCAGCCTTAATCTCCTACCATGGCTCAGGCTCTCTCTGCTCTAGCCACAGGGGCTTTCTTACTAGCTCTAACCTGACAAGTTCATTTCTGCCTTGGGGTGTTTATCCTTAACTGCTCCTTCTTTCGCAATGGTCTTCACCTGGAACTTAGCATCCTTCACTCCCCCTTCCTATCCCTAGTACTCTCTCCTTCCCCTGCTTTAATTGACTTCATTGCACCTATCTTTGCCTCAAATTATATTGTTTATGTGTTTACCTTCTTACGATCTCCTTCCTCAAACCAAATTGTGAGCTTCAAGAGCACAGAAATTTCAACATATTCTCTACTCTATCCCCATCAGTTATAAAAGGGACTGGAACTGAGTAGGAACCCAAGAAATATTTGTTTAATGAATAAGTAAACACATACTAACTAAATGGATGAGTTTTATGTACGAGAGTATTCATAAGAGGATTATTTATCAGAGACAAATTAGACACCACTTAAATGTTTTCTACTGGACCTGCTCAGTTTCTGAATACTTGGAATTTCTGATTTGCCATCTTGTGAAAAGCTTAAACTAAAAAAAATTTATCTCTAAAATGCCCCCTCTTATATCCCTTAATGATTAGGGCCCACCCATTGTCTCCCTCATTCCTATCTTTTCTGGCTACCTTACCCATCCAACTGCCTCCAACTGGACAGTTCAAACAAAACAAAACAAAAACTATTTCCCTTTTTTCCCCCTCCTACAGATCCTACTTTCTCCCACTGCCATAATTCAGTAGCAGGAAAGGAGCAATGGCAAAGAAAAGGCAGAAATGAAGCCCATGTAATCCACCTTGGTCATCATCAGCCTATCACTACTTATTTCTGCTATCAGTGCTTACTGCCTCCAAGAACCATTTCCACCTTCCTAAACGGTTCCAGAATCTGGATCATCCCTTGAAACATGCTGACCGCCACACAAACACAATACCGGTTTAAACTTTGAGAATTTCCATCTCCATGTGACCTAAGCCATCTTACATCATTGCCAAACCCAGAATTATATCACTATAACCAATTTAATTCAATTGGGTGTATAAAAATATTTATCATACACCTACTATGGCCCATCACAATGTGACAACAGTTCTTCTCTCCTCTCTCTCTCTCTCTCTCTCTCACACACACACACACACACACAACCACACCATTACCCCCATCTTATCTTTTGTTCTTCCTATCCCTATTTTTTCCTTAGTATTTTATTTTATTTTATTTTATTTTTTAAAGATTTTATTGGGTTATTTCCCAGAGAGAGAGAGAGAGAGCACAAGCAGGGGGAGCAGCAGGCAGAGGGAGAAGCAGGCTCCGCACTGAGCAGGGAGCTCAACGTGGGACTCAATCCCAGGACCCCGGGATCATGACCTAAGCTGAAGGCAGATGCTTAACCGAATAAGCCACCCAGGTGTCCCTTTCCTTAGTATTTTGAAAGAATTTCTCAAGCTTATCAGACACCATCAGATAGGAAAACAGACAATGCTGTTAATAAAGTTGTTCTTCACCCGCTTTGCTCTTGAAATACCTAGAACAGTTGGAGAAAATTAAAATACCCTAATAATATGGCTTAGGAAAGAGTGATGCTCTAACAGCAATCTGATCTCCCAGCTATTAGAGAAGACTTATATGCAACTCTTTGATACTGTCAAGCTCACATTCCCTAAAACAGTGGTTCTCGAACTTCTGTGACTATCACAATCATCTGCAGGGCTGGCTAAATTATATATTGCTGAGCTCCCTCCAGAGTTTCTGGGACAGGGTCTAAACATTTGCATTTCTAACATGTTCCTGGGTGGTGCTGATGCAGCCGGGCCAGAGATCACATTTTGAGAATTATTATCCTTAAAATATAGACCTCCTTTCATCAAATCTCAACTCCCCTTTCATATGAGTTTCATGACGATGAACTCACCTACTTAGAAAATACTAAAGGGGCGCCTGGATGGCTCAGTGGGTTAAAGCCTCTGCCTTCGGCTCAGGTCATGATCCCAGGGTCCTGGGATCGAGCCCTGCATTGAGCCCCTCATTGGGCTCTCTGCTCAGCAGGGAGCCTGCTTCCTCCTCTCTCTGCCTGCCTCTCTGCCTACTTGTGATCTCTGTCTGTCAAATAAATAAATAAAATCTTAAAAAAAAAATACTAAAGCATATTCTAAGGAAATAATCAGAGATGCAGACAAAGATTTATGGATGAGGATAGTTATTGCAACATTATCACAGCAAAAAAAAAAAGAGGGACACGATGTAAATGTCTAACACATGGGAAATATTAAATTATTACACATCCATCTATATTATGTAACACTTAAAATATATTTTCAAAAAATGTGTTTCTTCAAAGAACATTTAATGACATGTGAAGATGTAAATAATAAAATATATTCGAGTGAAAAATACATAGTATAAAAACCAATTTTATAAACTATAATATGGTGAGTATAGAAGAGAGAGTGCTGGGTATCTGGGTGGCTCAGTGGGTTAAAGCCTCTGCCTTTGGCTCAGGTCATGACCCCAGGGACCTGGGATCGAGTTCCACATACGGCTCCCTGCTCAGCAGAGTGTCTGCTTCTCCCTCTACTTATGATCTCTCTCTCTCTCTCAAATAAATAAAATCTTTAAAAAAAGAAGAAGAAGAGAAAGAAGAAGAAAGAGTACTACTCAGCATAGATAACCAAAATTTGGAAATAAGGCAAAGGAGTGACTACATGTCCTTTTAGTTCATATCAAAGCACTGTGAACAAGCCTATCTAAGGATCATCTAACTATTTACTAGTAATTATAGCCCAAACTCTGTAATGTTATATACCAACATTATATAATAATTACATAGGCCTGTAATTACATTTGTCTGAGAATTTTACTTTTAACATTTTGAAAATTATACGTGTGGGATAGAGACCGTCTCAGCCTAAAGTTTTCTGATTTGGAGGATCAATGCATTCTGTTTCTGTATTTATCAGAAACTGGGCAGTTTTAAGGTACTTCAATCATAGAGACCTTCCTGTGCAGTAAGTCTTCCCACAGAATTCCACCAGGGCCTCACATACTGTTAAGCTATCCAGTAAAAACTACCTATATATTGGGACTCCAAGCATTCTTTTAGCTTTGACACATAGTGGCTTTATTATTCTCATTTCAGATTTGGATTGCCCAGGAAAAGGGAATAGGGAAAAAAATAGGTAAGTCGCTTGCTGTCAATGAAACCCAAGACCAACCAAACATCTTGGTGTCTTGTCTTCATGAACTACCTTTATCATAGGTTCCTTCCCCACCCCCAGCATCTGAAATGACCTAAGAAAAAGATCCAGTTCTAAAGAATTCAGAGGCAGATGAAGGTATCAGTTGGCCATGAGGAGACCACTGGTCAAATTAGGTATTAATATGAGGAACCTGCAAAATCCTAGTCAGTTCTCAATATGACCTGAAAGATGTTTTTTAAAAGGAAGTTCTCCCATTAAATGGACTGAAACTAGGGAAAGACAAGCCTTGCCAATCACATCAGCACTTACAGACCCCCAGGCATATGTCAGAATCCATCTCTGCAGGCTACATTATGACAATGAGGCCTGCATAAGGACCCCACTGCAGAATCTATATGAAGGCTAGGCTTTTCAGGTTTAGAGACAAATCCTTAAGTGGAAACCTTCAAAGAAGCCACCAGAAAGGAATATGGAATCCCAGAGCCAGGTGGAGATTTTGGATCTATAGTTCTGCGTGATCAGAAAAAAACGCAAATAAGTTCACCTGTTAGCCTGTGATAGGGAGGGCACCAGAAGCTCTCACAAGGACAAACAGGAACACAGAAAGCAGGAGAGTGAGATGGCAAGAACTTCAGCAGCACAGTGGTACAGAGGGGCTGGGATTTCTTTAGTAACAACATAAACTTCACATACAGAATATGAGCACAGGTGTCCTAGCTTTGGGGTAGAAATCTTTGTTGGAGCTGCTTGAACTTGGAGGAATATGGTAGCCCTGGATGTGAATATCTGGTTCCCCTGTCTTGGACTAAAAGATGGCGCTGCTTTGCAAAGTGAGAGGGGGAAACTTCCTGGACTCGCCCAGTAGGGGGCAACAGCTCATCCTAGAGGAACCTGGGAGACAGGGTAGCAAAAGAGCTCCTCTCTCCTGGTGCATTCGTCCGCCAGATTCGCCTGAAGTTCACTAAAGGTCCGCCTCAGGTTAGATTTGGATCTTCAAGGCTCACAGAGCGGCCCGGGGAACAGGACGCCGATTTGCATTGTTCTGATAGCTCGGAAATCCGCATTTGGGGAGAATATGGGAACTTGTTTTTCCGACTTTCTTTTTCATTCGAGTACACCAACAGATCTAAAATCGCTGAAAGGTTGTTTTCTTTATGTGAAAAATAAAGTAAACTATGACCAAACACAAACAAAACAAACAAAAAGATGAAGTAGAATGAGGAAGAAGAGACTGCATTAGATTGCTTTTACTTGACCAAGTAAGGATAGAGAAAACGGCATTAGGCCCCTTAGACTTGGAGGAGCAAAGAGAACTCTGGCAAGGTCATAAGTGCAGATGGACTGGTGTCCTTGAGCCACAAATTATTTTTTAAAAAACTTTAAAAGGCCATTTCCAAGAAGCCTGAGAAGCTTCAAAGTAGAAGCAGGAAGAAAAGTGGACTGAGAGTTGAGTTAAAACACTGGGACCCAGGAGAAACTCTTAGATACTATGTTTAAAACTAGCAAAGGAGATTAAAAATGCCACTAGGAAATACTCCAGGACTGAAAAGAAGGCATAAGGCAATAGTGCTAAAGAATAAATAGAAACAAATAAAAAATTCCAAGGATCAGGAACTAGTAAGAAATCTCTGGGAGAGAGAACAGGGAGAAGCACCTTGAAGGGAATGCCTTAAATGTATGACAAGTTGACTTCTTACTTTACTCACTAAATTGCTCTCCTGCGGTGTACAGTTTATACACATCTAACCTTGCAAAGTCCCTTTACATCTCCATTTCTTCATCTGTGAAATGAGAGAACTGATCTCTGAGGTCAATTATGCTCTAAGACTCCATACTCTTATAATTTCCCCAAATTCCCTCCAGCTACCATAATGCTCAGTTTAACGCTTGAACCAAGGATAGGTGATAAACTACATTGGGAACTTTCAAGAAACTTTCAAGAAACCACAGGGAACAGACAAGAGCCTAGGATTCTGGGGCATGATCTTGGGAAAAGTTCCTTATGTTACCACTGGCCAGTGAGAATAAAGAGGAAATTCAAGATCCATGCTATCAGGAAGGAGGTGGGAGGGAGTGGAATTGAGGTTGGGGATAGTACTGTATCTAAAATTCATCACTTGAGAATGTAAAAATCATTTTTGGAGTTCACTAAACAGCCCTTCTTTGTAGACACTGCAAAAGCCATCCAGCAAAACAGAATGGAGAGAAGTCATAGACGAGTATCAAGGAAATTAGTCAGAAACTGTGTAATTGCACTACATAATAGAGCCTTACAAAAAGAACTGAGCAAGTTCATATAGGATGTAATATTAAATATATACCAAAAACACCATCTGAACAAGAATTAATCAGTGATCTGACAAACATGAAATACCAAATATCTACCCCAGTCAAGCACTGGGAAGAACTATAAGTGAAACACACATAAGCCTCAAGTGAGTACACACACTTACAAGATAGCCCAAGAAAAAATAAAGTTAAGGCCAAAGTCTGCTATTTACTTCCACCTAAAATATGGCACTGGGAAGCAATGGAAACAATAAAATACATATTCAATAAATATTATTTGGTTTAACTCTCAGATTGAATCTCATAAATTATGGCTGAATCTTAATCCATTCAAATAATCTTACCAAATTTTAGTCAATTTGTATCTTTTTTCAATCTATCAGTTTCTTAACAGTATCTAAACACCAGAAGTCTCAACATTAGCTCTAAGTAAATAAACAAATCTATTATTCTACAAAGATTACCTGTTTTTCCCCAGCAGAAGGACACGGAGGGATCTCAGAGTGGAAAGCCCACTGATTTCTTCAATTTGGTTATCATATAAATCCAAGAATATTAGCCTCTGTAGATTAGAAATATTTTGGATCCGAGTTATAAAATTGTGTTGGAAGTTCAACAAACGAAGGTGTTCTTCTCCATCAATGATAGGACACACAGTCAGCTTTTGCCTAGAAAACATTTTAAAAAGTGTACAAAGTTTCAATGTGACAACATGCCTCCTCTTTTTATTACAAATATTATTAATCGTATATTTGTGCTCCCACACTGTTAGGAGAAAGAAAGGTGAACAGCACCACTTCGTGCCTCCAGGAACTGAGTATCCTAGACCTAATTGTAGATCATTTCTATTAAAGACAACATACTTCAACAAGGGCAATTATGAAAATTAAGTCTAAGCTCTCATTTTACTAAAAAAAAAATCTCCAATATTGATTACTTCACATAAAATTGGCTTAACATCACAAAGCACTCAATGTAACTACCTTCTGAAAATTGAAATTATTCAAAGAGCCATGTCACATAACGCAATAGAGGCCCTTGCCATCAAGTCACTGATACAAAGACCGCCCAGGCAACTAAGTCATTGGAGAAAAAAAAAACAACAAAAAAAAACACAACAATTTATACACAGGTCTCTCACAAAATAAGACTCTTAAGCTGGATGACATGTTAGGAAAAGCAAAAAATTCAGCCACCTACAGTTCCCTTTGATGGAAACAGTTTTACCCTGAAATCCATTAATAGGAAGGCAGTCCTTATAACACATTTCCCCAGAAGCTTAGATTTTAAGAATGTTTACATGTTCAACATTAACTTTAGACTTTTCAGAACAGTTAGAATGCTATAGGATAGGATGAAACCTTACTAATACAAGCTTTCAGCTATATCTGAAACACTAAATAAAGCCTCTATTAGGCAAAAAGTTATGTCTTACATGTGAAGTAAATATGTACAGGGCTCTAAGAATTCCACTACTATAATATAGGCCAGAGAGGAGTGATTCCACTCTGAGGTTTTCAACAGTGTGCAAGGAAAAGGTCGCTGCTTTGATCAGTGTGTGGACAACTCTAATGGAGAGGGTTACTTACTAGAACTATTTTCTTTTAGTAAAAATCAAGCAAATGTAACCTTTAAAGAAAATTAATCAGAATTCTACAAGCGTGAGTGAATTTGTGAATGGGATCAGAATAGTCCTCATTTATAGAGGATATGTGATTAGCACAAAGAAATGACTGAATACAAACGGTTGACAAAGATACGATGTTTAAAAACACAGACCCTGGAAAAAATTGGTTTATAATAGAAGAAAAGTAAAACATAATGGACAATAGTTGAATTGTTTGAATGTGTGCTTAGTATTTAGAATTCATTTCATGCATTCAATACTATCACATTTCCTCCTTGTCTTATAACTTATAAATTAATAAATGACAAGTATTCTAGTTTAAAAGTTATATATTTATCAGCTTAGCCAAAAACTTTGTCTCATTTTTCCTGCTTCAGTCTTCCTCTGTTTCTCAATTAAACCTACCAATACCCCCAGCTTCTAGTTCATCCAATTTCTGAGTCAGTCATCACCGAGAAAGGAAAATAAATAATCTCGGACCTCCCTCTCATATAAGTTACTATAGCTTGAAATAAAGTCACTTTCTCAGATTCCAAATCGAGTGACTAAGAACCAAGGCTCACTTGTCTTGAAACTCGACTTAGTTGGGTGACTAAGACCCTAGCTCACTCGTCCACCCCCTGAGCCCCTAAGTCCCTGCCACGCAGTAAAACAAGCAAACACACACACACACTAAGCCAGAGCTTTCTCAGGGCAGAGGCAGTGTTCTGGCTACAAAATCCCTGAGTTGCTACACTTCGGCCCTAATACCAGATGTATAATGGACAATACCTGTGCCTCTGTATTTCCTACCTGATGCTGTAACACCAATACTACGAAACTGTCCTGAGAGTTAGCGCCCTCTGCTCCGCCTACAATACAACACACTGCACCCTCCGGGAAGCTTTTTCCCAACTACACACAAAGATGGTCTAGGACAATTCACTGTCAATTCACTGTGCACTGCTAATGTAAGAAGTTTGCTGAACAATTTGCTCTTGGATGGAGGCGCCTGGGTGTCTCACTCGGTTAAGCATTCGCCTTAGGCTCAGATCATGCTCCTGGAGTCCCGGGATCGAGCCCCATTGTACAGCTCTGGAAAGTCTGCTTCTTCCCCTTGCTCTGCCCCTCCCCTGCTCCACTTCTCTCTCTCTTGCTCACTCTTCCACTCTCAAATAAATAAATAAAATCTTCAAACAAAAATTGCTCTTGGAAAGGCACTGCTAAGCTAAAGGCATGCATAGCAGTGATGGTTTTCCTAGACTGGTTATAGCGCTAAGATAGGATAGAGATGTTCATCCACCATTCTATTGTCAGGGGCGTCCTAGATTTATTTTAGTTTTAGTTTTTATTTACATTCAATTTAGGTAACATACAGCATATCATTAGTTTCAGGGACAGAATTTAGTGATTCAGTAGTCTTATATGACAGCCAGGGCTCATTATATCAAGTGTCCTCCTTAATGCCCATCAGCCAGTTACCCCCGCCCCCCACCAACCTCCCTTCCAGCAGCCCTCAGTTTGTTCTCTATAATTAAGAGTCTCTTAATGGTTTGTCTCCTTCTCTGTTTTCCTCTTATTTTATTTTTCTTTCCCTTCCCCTATGTTCATCTGTTTCATTTCTTAAATCCCACATAGGAGTGAAACCATATGGTATTTGTCTTTCTCTGACTGACTTATTTAGCTTAACATAATATACTTTAGTTCCATCCAAGTCGTTGCAAATGGCAAGATTTCGTTCTTTTTGATGGCTGAGTAATATTCCATCATATATATATATATATATAGAGAGAGAGAGAGAGAGAGATAACACATAAAATATTCCATATATATAGATATAGATAGATATGGATACAGATATCTACCACATCTTTATCCATTCATCTGTTGATGGTTATCTGGGCCCTTTCTATAATTTGGCTATTGTAGACATTGCTGCTATAAACATTGGGGTGCATGTGCCCCTTCGAATCACTATGTTTGATTCCTTTGGGTAAATACCTAGTAGTGCAATGGCTGAGTCATAGGGTAGCCCTATTTTTAGCTTTTTGAGGAACTTCCATACTGTTTTTCCAGAGTGGCTACACCAGTTTGCATTCCCACCGACAAGGTAAAGAGGGTTCAAGGGCTTCCTAGATTTTAGCTAGGGATCAAATCTTAAATATATCCATCCGTTCAAAATTTTTTAGTCTCTTTTGTCCCAGGCTCTGTTCTAGGTGCTCAGGATACAAAACTGAAAAAATCTCCCAGTGTCTGGGGAGCTTATATTCCAGTAGGAGGAGACAAAGGATCAACTTGATAAGTAAAATACTTCATATGTTGGAGGGTGATACATGCTAAGAAGAAAAATGAGGCAGAGAAAGGGGTTGGGGAGTGTCAAGGTGGAAGGGATGTAGCTCTGGAGATGATGGCTGAGGAAGGTCATCCCTGACATGATGACATTTGAGTAAAGACCTGAAGGAGATTAGGGAGTAAGCCTACAGATATGTGGGGGAACAGCATTCTCTGCAAAGAGAACATCGAGTGCAGAAGTTCTGAGGTATAAGCATGCTTGGTGTATTCAAGTGGCACCAAGGAGGCAGGTGTCTTCAGCAAAGTGAATGAAGGAGAAATGAGGAGTTCAGGCCAGTGAGGCAACAGGAACTCAATACGAGAGGGCCCAGAAGGACCCATATGAGGACTATACTATAAGTTTTTCTATCCTAAAGTCCATTTTAATCCATGTCATAGTCTAGAATTGCTATACTACTACTCTTTCAGGGTATAGGTAAGCTCTGTTACATTACACAGCTATAAAATCCCTCCCCACACTCCTGAAAGGATAAATAAAAAATTGGAACAGTGATTATACCTATGTGGGAGAACTGGGGAGCTAGAGAGCAAGAGAAGAGAGAAAGCCTTTTCTATCTTTCCAATCTTGTAATTTTTGTATTATCTGGTCAAAAAAAGAAAAGAAAAGAAATTGTCCTCACCTTTCTAGGGTCAACCTGTCTGAGTAAAGAATTTTCTCTTCAGAAGAACGTTGCAGAATGGGAAATGATGGCATTGATGAGCTCGCCAGATGAATATGATCACCTATTGAAAAGGATATACAAATTACTTGATTAAGAAAAAAAAAAAACCTGTAAAATCTTGAAACTAAAGTCACCTTATATTTGGAAAACTTTGGCACCTACAAATATCTTTTCTGGAAACTACAATTTCCACAGCTCTCTACACTTAAAATTAATTCCTACATTTGAGTTTGTTTCTTTCCTCCTCAACCCTAAAACTACATGTTCCGTATATACCAAATAATTTTTCTCTTGCCCTATAGATTGGTTGGAAGTACAGAACTACTCTAGTACTATCTTTACCCCGTTATAAGGCTGACTCCTAATACTAAAGTTTAAGTCTCTTAAAGCTGAGAGGATGGTCCCTCATTACCAGATACATTTGGGCCAGCACTATGACAGCCCTGCCGGATTCTGGACTTTGAAGGTGTCTGAATGGAAGAATCGCCAAAGGCCGATAAGGAGCTCATGGTAGTTTTCATTTCCAGCCCACATAGTTCTGTCACGTTTGTTGTGGATGAGATGCATGATGATTTATTACGAGGCGAAGGGCTTATTACTCTTCCATCTCCTTCAAAATATCAAAAAGTTTATCACAAAGCTACACAATACACAACTTTACTACTGGAAATACAGAGAAAGTAGTTTTGGATAGCATGATGGATCACTTTTTTTTTCTATGTTCAGCCACTATTAGTAGAAAAGATTGTAGAGACCGATGGATGTGGTCAAATACTGTTCATTTTTAGTTAGTTAGGCTCTTCAGGGTCTACGACACTCCTGTGAGGTTTATAGGCTGTTGGTCCTATAATCCTGACTGCCATTAAGTAGCTTTCAATCTAACTGGCAAACACATATGAAATTAATAGACTATACAGAACAATGTACACAAAATACAGAATAAAAAATAGTGTCTGTTATATATTCCCACATAAATGTGACAGTTATTTTCCAGTTAAGAAAACGGGTTTGGGGTGCCTGGGTGGCTCAGTGGGTTAAGCCTCTGCTTTCGGCTCAGGTCATGATTTCAGAGTCCTGGGACTGAGGCCCACATTGGGCTCTCTGCTCGGCAGGGAGCCTGCTTCCCCCTCTCTCTCTGCCTGCCTCTCTGCCTATTTGTGACCTCTCTCTCTCTGTCAAATAAATAAATAAAATCTTAAAAAAAAAAAAAAAAAGAAGATGGGTTTATAGGGAGGTAGATATTAAGGTATATTCTACGGACCCCGAAGAATGTAGAATGGTCAAGAAGAGATGCTGGCAAGTTCCAGAAATGAGATAAGATTTGAGTAATGGGTCAAAGGGATCACTTTGAACATCAGAGGAAATCTACTGTATTTTCTTCTATAAAGAGAAAATTTCCTGAAAGAAGCAACTGATGTTGACAGGAGCAATAAGCAGTAAAACAGAAACTATGGTTACCACAGAGCTCTTCTGCTTAAACAGACCAATAAGGTGAAAAGAAAAAACCAAATCTAGGAAGCTAACATACTCTTTGGGAGACCATGAGACAATATGATGACAACCTAACATCAAGTTTCATATAGTACTACTAAAAAGCTGTCAAGCAACAATATTTGCTAGCTTCTATGGGTCTACAAAGCATAAAGTATCTATTGAAATATCACACACCTAGCTTCTTGCACAAAATAACCAGTGCTCATATTCCACTTTTCTAAGTATCATGAAACATCAAGATAACTAACAATGATGTTCTCGAGTAGATCACTCAGAACTGGCCTCATGTTCACCAATGAACTGCTGTTGTGACAGGATTCAGTGCCTAGCAGGATACCAAAGCAACCACGATTCAGTAAACCAATTTGGAAATTAAAATTCAGATAGTTTAAAAAAAAAAACAGAAACAAACAAAAATCAGTCTAAGGATTAATTGATTAAGGTGTAATTGTCCACCTAAAGATGATACAGGTAAAACTCCAACCAATGGACAACCTTGATTTCTGTTATTAGCATCGGAGTCAGGTTTTTAAATTATTTTGTTAAGGCTTCAAGCCAATCCTCAGTTTAAGAGGCAGACTGAAACTTTCAAAGACTTGGGGTATATAGGAAATAATCAAAGCGAAGATTCATTTATGCTCAAAGCAAATTTTATCCTTACACTTTTCAGTTCCTATTATGCACAGAAGTCATAATCCCTATCCCCTCAATGAGCTCACTATCACTATCAGTGTGATATATATCTTATAAGATATAGCAACGAATGACAACAATTAGGAAGAAACACCTTAAAACCCACAAACAAGATCCTTTAAATGACTGGAAACCAGAGTGATCTATGACTGACACATCCACATACTTATGCAGATATATGCACATATATTTGTATATCAAACACCCACATATATTTGTGGGATATTTCACCCTACATATAAACCACATTACAATGTGGCAGAATTTTAATTGAAGCATTTCTTTTATTTCATATGTCACTATTTAATTTACTGGATATGAAGCCCCTGTTTTCCCCACAAATTTATGAGCTCTTTGAGAGATAGACCTCATTTTACATTCTTTATATTCTTGCCCGAATCCAAGGAATCAATAAACTAATTGATTTTCCAATTTACGAAAAGTTAAGTGGAAATCTATTTCGTATATACTATTTCTGTTAAAAAAAAAAAGAAAGAAAGAAAGAAAGAAAGAAAGAAAGAAAGAAAGAAAGAAAGAAAGAAAATCAAAGTCTCATATTTTGGTATAAAAATGCGGATTGAAGGCACCTGGGGGGCTTAGTTGGTTAAGTGCCCAACTCTTGGTTTCGGCTCAGGTCATGATCTCAGGGTCATGGTCTCAGGGTCGTGAGATGGAACCACATGTCAAGCTCTGTACTCAGTGCGGAGTCTGCTTGAGGTTTTCTCTCCCTCTTCACACCCCTTGCATTATCTCGTGCTCTTTTTCTCAAATAAATAAATAATTTTTTTTTTTTTTAAATGCTGACCATTCTTTCAATAATGGTCTATATTCAAAAAGAACCTTCACTGCACTGCACACTACATACGTGGATGAACAGATGGGTAAATGGATGGGTAAGTGGATAGATGGAAAGATGGGTGGATGGATGATACAGTGCATGGTCCTATATGACTGTCCACTCAGTCTTACCTTTGAGATACTGATTCTAGGTTTTCTACTGATCTATCATGATTTTAAGAATGAAGCACTGAATCTTCCTCTCTATATACACATTTTGGAATTCTTAATTAAGGGAGCTAATAAATTAAATTCTGGTTAACTGAGATTTTATTGTATCCTTGGAATATCTGGCACTTATAAAATCCCAAGGATACAGGGATTAACTCTTAACAATAATCTAAAAAGCCCCCAAAAATATACATACCAAGTTTTGAATTTACCAGCCTAACTAAAATATTCAGCTTCTTTCCTTCAAACCGAGAGTACCATTGATTAATTTATGCTGATGGGCTATTAAGCTTAATTAATTTTGGAAAAACTGAGAAAAAAAGGAAATGGGTAAAATTATGATTAGATATCAGAATGCAGTTTATTAGAGAAAAATTCCCAAACCTTCTTGATAAATGCTACTTATAATTTTTTTTTTTAAAGATTTTATTTATTTGACAGACAGAGATCACAGGTAGGCAGAGAGGCAGGCAGAGAGAGGAAGGGAAGCAGGCTCCCTGCTGAGCAGAGCGCCCGACGCGGGGCTTGATCCCAGGATCCTGGGATCACGACCCGAGCCGAAGGCACAGGCTTTAACCCACTGAGCCACCCAGGCGCCCCAATAAATGCTACTTATAATTTTGCCAAATTTCTATGTCTTTGCAGGCAGAATGGTGAGTATGTAAGTCGAAAAAAAACAGCTATACGCCACATGGGTCTCCTTTGCATGAAATTGCCTGGAACTATGGAGGATGCACATTTGGAAAGAACAGGGTACAAATGAAGAGCCATTTGTACTACTAGAGAACAACTTTGAATGAAATCCTTCAATAAAAAAAGTTTTATTTTTCCCTAAAGAATTTTGTATTTCATGAGTCATTACTTATGTATGAAACTTTATTTATCTCTTAGGTTCACAAAATTCAGTGCTCTATACTATTTTCTCATTAGCAAATCTCTAGTAATACCTTATCACTTAAATAAATTTACCTGGCCAGTCATCCAGAAATCTGTATAACAAACTCTTCTTCTAACTTGAGAATAGCTTGGGAAAAGTATGTAAGTTTGACTCAGGACTTAGAAAACACATATAAGATATTATTATAAAAAAGTGTAAAGGAAATTCGTTATGCAAACATAAAGAATCTTGCTTGAGAATTCTCAATTTCACAGCTATAACTCTGCTCCTAATACAGCGTCTAGCACATAGCATATCCTCAATAAATATGTAGTGAACTGAACCAAAGAGAGCAAGACAGATGCTCCCTGTAGTGTGTAACTGCATTTACGTTGATGCCATGTCTAGCAGTTGGCCAAGACTAGACTGTAGGATATAAGAAAGAGAAAAGTGAGTGCGCCTGGGTGGCTCAGTGGGTTAAGCCTCTGCCTTCGGCTCAGGTCATGATTTCAGGGTCCTGGGATCGAGCCCCACATCGGGCTCTCTGCTCAGCGGGGAGCCTGCTTCCTCTTCTCTCCCTGCCTGCCTCTCTGATTACTTGTAATCTCTATCAAATAAATAAAATATTAAAAAAAAAAAAAAAAGAAAGAGAAAAGTCAGGGGTGCCTAGGTGGCTCAGAGGATTAAGACTCTACCTTTGGCTCAGGTCATGATCTCAGAGTCCTGAGATGAAGCCCTGCATCAGGATCTCTGCTCAGTAGGGAGCCTGCTTCCCCACCTCTCTCTCTGCCTACTTGTGATCTCTCTCTGTCAAATAAATAAAATCTTTAAAAAAGAAAAAGAAAAAGTCATCTCAAATTAGATGGGCCCAAGAGGAAAGTCCAAAAGTAACAAAACAAAAAAAGAAAACTAATCCAACATTCAAGATGACCATACATTCGTGCAGTAATGAGATGAACAATCTGGGCCTGCCTCTACAGATCAACCCCCTCATACAAACTCCTAGGACGTACAGATGGTACAGTATATAAGGATTCTGTAGTGCTTAACATTAGCCCATTACAGATGGCTAGCAGTTGTTAACAACCAACTAACCACTCAAATGTCTAAAGGAAATTTCTCCTTGAACTGAAAAACTCATTTCAGAAATCTAACCAGATCATGTAAGCCACTGTTTTTCAAAGGGTGGTCCACAAACCACATCCGTCAGAATCCCTCGAGACATTAAAATGCACATTTCCCTGGACATTGGGGAGGGTATGTGCTATGGTGAGTGCTGTGAAATGTGTAAGCCTGACGATTCACAGACCTGTACCCCTGGGGCAAAAAATACATTTATGTTAATACAAATAATTAATTAAAAAAATAAAACGCACATTTCCAAATCCCACTTGAGACCTACAAAATCAGAAAGGGGAAGAGGAAGAAAGGAAGGGGAGTACTAAGAACCTGCCTTTCTAATAAAATCTCAGGTGATGGCACACTAAAGTGTAAGGCCTTTGACTTAAAATATCTATAATTATATACGTTAGTAAGGGAAAGATTTTCTTTTCTACTCCTGACTTTTCACTCTTTCCACTGTTCCCTTATTTCCTAGACATATGTGTTCCCATACTCTTACCCTCATAAGGTAGGCATTCTTCCTAGTTCTAAAACAGCATTTGGAAGATTCCTTACCATTCTGTTGTGCATAACCCAGCCTCGAACTATAGTACAACTGCTTTTTCTATTGAAAATAATCTACCATGCAGTATATATAAAATCAATTCTGATCCAAATAAATACCAAACCAATTTGATCAGTGAACCATTGGTTAATGAACCATTTCATTTTTAATTCAGGTCTATTTGGACTTAGGTAGTCAAGATTATTAAGCAATATTACTCAAATAAGATAAGACATATCTGATCTCCACTTGCTGACAATACCTTGCCTACTTGAGTAGTTTCTTTCAAGATCATGTTGTAAGAGTCGACCAGAGAATGATGGTGTTTCTTTATTTAGCTTGAATTCAACCTAAAAGACATATTTGGGGGAAAATTTAACAGTAAGTAATAAAGATAATTATAAAATTATGTACAATACTGACACAAGACACAACACAGATGAACCTTAAAAACATGCTGAGTGAAAGAAGAGAGACATAAAATGGCACATGGCATAGGATTCCATCTATGAAAAACTGATAATAAAAAAATCTAAAGAGACAGAAAATAGATTTGTGGTTTTCAAAGGGGGTAATGGGAAGAGATTGTTTAATCGGTACGGGGACTCCCTTTTGAGTGACAAAAGTTCTGGAACTACACACTGATGATGGCTGCACAACCTTGTGAATGTATTTAATATCACAAATTTGTACAACTTAAAATGGCTAAAATGGCAATTTTTATGTTAAGAGTTTTTAGCGCACACACATGCACACAGAGTCAATTTCATGGGGTCAGATGAAACTATGCTATAAACCACTTGCAATTCCTCCATATGCTCACCACAAATACAATGATTAAAAGAACCATTTTCTAGAAAACAAAAGCAAAAATCATATAGCAAAAAATAAATTCTGTTGAAAAAAAATCACTATGTTTTTATCATCAGAATTCCTTTTAAGAATCCAAGTGTAGGGGCGCCTGGGTGGCTCAGTGGGTTAAGGCCTCTGCCTTCGGTTCAGGTCATGATCCCAGGGTCCTGGGATGGAGCCCCGCATCGGGCTCTCTGCTCAGCGGGGAGCCTGCTTCCCCCTCTCTCTCTGCCTGCCTCTCTGCCTACTTGTGATCTCTCTCTGTCAAATAAATAAATAAAATCTTAAAAAAAAAAAAAAGAATCCAAGTGTAATAAAACTGTATATCTAAACCTTCTAAGAAGGGTATTCTCTAAGTTGATTTTAAATTATTTGATAGGACTGAGGGAAAAAAAAAAAAACCTCGTGATTAGCCACCAAAAAACCCTAAATAGTATCATAAAAGAGTTATGATGCTTCTGATTCATCCATAATAAACATTATAACAGCATTTGTACTATAACTTTATGAATTATATGAGCTAAAGGTATTTTCTCAGAACATATTTCCACTCTAGAGAAAGTAAGTGGTTTGAAAAGAATCTGGACAAGGCACATAGTTCCTAGAAATACGTTACAATGATAAAACGGGATTTTTCCAGCAAAATCAATTAGCAAAACTTTGGCAAAGATCCATTATGTCCAATTATAATAAAGAATATTTTCAATTAATCTAGCTAATTGCTATTTATTCAAGATGATCAAATGGTCTATTTTTCAAGGGTTTATTTTCACATTTAATAGAATCAACTACTGCCTCCTCGACTAATGGTGTCCTTCCGTCAACCCACTTCATGCCCCTCCTTACCCTCCTCATGCTGTTGTTTGTAAACTCTGTCCTTCACTTTAGAGTTCCCCCAGTGACATCTACTGAACAATCTTTCAGGAAAAAAACTGAATTGTGATAGCTGGAGGCATCCAACTTGGGCAAAGGAGGAAAAATTGTTTTGTGTCTTGAGACAGTTCTATGGGAGGTAGATGAGTATGTCTGAGTGCTGAGGTGAGACAGGAGGGAAAGAAAAACATGTATCTCAAAAATCAGATCTAAAGCTAGAAATAATGGAAAGGCCAGTGGATATTGTATGCAAATCTGGGAAAAAAGAATCTTGTGTTTACATCTTAACTTCTAAATAGCATTAAGCCCAATATATTTTCACTGCTAATCTATTATGTTCTCCCCTGATTATAAATGGAATCTGTAGATATATCCCCCCATATTATTACATTTTATCCATTATAAGATGCCATCAGTAGTAAGACATACCATCATTTTACTCACTACTAAGAAAGAAAAAAACTTTCTTAATTCGACTATGATGTGCCATCAATTTTAAGAAGAATCCTGACTTAAGAAATGTTTAAATATAAAAAACAAAACAAAACAAAACCCACCTCTTGTAATTGGTGAAGTAAGAATCAGTTTTTTAAAGAGGCTTTTTTAGTTTAGGTGGGCAGAGAATAAAAATCATTTTAGCTCTACTCTTTAAATCATGCTGTTATTTGTGTAGGTTATAAAATAATTTATCTTCGATTTAAATATAAATCTGCTTAAATCTTACTTTGCTTTTTTCAGGAAGCGATGATGTTTGAATAACCAGATGAAGCCCACAGTTCACCTGCAACATAAAAATTATAGCATAAAATACGCTCTTAACTTAAATACACACATATTTCTCCCCAAACTGGTACAGAGAAAGATATAACAAACACTTAGGATAAAACAGAATGCTTGCTTTTCGTTTGTGGTAAATGATCATGTTCTGACGATCTGCTGAAAACAATAAAATCGCGACTAAGAATTAAAAGGTTTCCCTGTGATTTATTTCCCAAGATGTCTGCAGCGATTTGACCTTCTACCTTATAACCTGAGGTATCTGACACTTGCCATTTCAAGTCTACGTAAATATCTCAATGGGACAGGTGAAGGAGGTGGAGTGCCTATCAATAATAATACATTTTTTTTTCTTAATTAAGAGAAGGGGTGGGAGATCGACTGGTTAAAAGAACTGAAATGAGTCTTAGCCTTTCACAGCAGACCAGCTCCACCTTCTGGAAGCCAAGAACCTGGACAAGACTGAAAACCCATCGCACAATATTAAATACCCTCCAAGTGCCTTGGTCCAGTCCACGAATCTCAAGCCTCGGTCAGACAATAGCTTGAGTAGATTCAGCGATCCTGGTCCCAATAATACAGCCCATCACCTAGGACAAAGACGCCAGTCAGAAAGAACGATACGAATGGGGGAGAAGGGTAAGGCAGGAGACCCAACCTACGTTATTCGCAGCCCGGCCAGAAACAGAGCGGTACTTCCCGGGAATCATGGCAGGAGACAGTCCAGGATCTGTTAGATCTGCCTTAGAAGCGACGATACAGCGGAGACTCAGACACCGAAAGGGGTCATCTCCCAGGCAACCCGCTCAGGGGTTACCATGGAGACGACCATTTCCGGTCTGGTCCTCTCCTAAATCGGCCGGCCCACCGGGTCAGTAGAGCCTCCGGTGATGTTTGCTGGGGTCCGGTGCGTCCGCACTTCCTCGTCCTGCTTTCCTGGCCTCGTGCAAACGGAGCGGGAGTGTGGGGAGGAGGACACGGGGAAGAGGCCGGCCGCCTCGGTAGCTGTGACAACCACCACTTCCGGTCCGTTCCTCTTTACGGCCCACCTCAGTTCGGCCCGCGCGAAATTTGGATCCCGCTGCCGGTGGCGCCCTGCTCTCCGGGGAGGACCGCCGCGAGCGGACGGAGGCCGATATCCGAGCACCGCGTACTCCCCTGTGGGGCCCCAGCTCGGGACTTCCGGTGGCCGGAGGTAGGGGCACGCACGAGGCGCCGCGCTGCGCGGACTGGCGCAGGGGGACCGGCGTCTCCCCGGCTGGGAGAGCGCGGGCGTGCAGAGGCTGAGGCCGCGGCCATGCCCGCCCGCTGCGTGGCCGCCCACTGCGGCAACACCACCAAGTCCGGGAAGTCGCTGTTCCGCTTCCCCAAGGACCGGGCGGTGCGGCTGCTGTGGGACCGCTTCGTGCGGGGCCGCCGCGCCGACTGGTACGGAGGCAATGACCGCTCTGTCATCTGCTCGGACCACTTCGCTCCGGCCTGTTTTGACGTCTCTTCGGTTATCCAGAAGAACCTGCGCTTCTCCCAGCGCCTGAGGCTCGTAGCGGGCGCCGTGCCCACCCTGCACCGGGTGTCCGCCCCGGCACCTAAGGGGGAAGAAGAGGGAGAACACGCGGGCGGCCCCGAAAAGGGAGGAGAGCCCCAGGCAGGCAGGCAGGCAGAGGCCGCCCCACGGCCAGCCTCCAGTACGCTCCTCCGGGCCAGGAAGAGGGCTGCACCTTCACAGGTAAAGGGACATCAGAAGTCCACCGAGGGTCGCGGAAGGACCCCCAGACTGTGGCTCGGCTGTGCCACTAGTGTCACCTGGGGAAGGTCATCTCACCTCGAAGGGTTCCGTTTTCCCATCCGTAAAATTAGGAGGTTGCTGTAGCGGGGATCGCCAGGTCCTATTTGACATGAACGCTGGGGGGGGGCGGTTACATAGTTTGCTTCTGCCTCATCCTCCCTCGGACTCACACAAACACACACTCTCATCCTTTAGATTATAGAGTCGCCTTCATAGTCCGCTGCAGACTTTTTAAATAGAAAGGGTCCCATTTGCGCAAATCTCAAGGAAAGGGGTGCTTGTAACTGTTCTTGCTCGACATTAACCTGAGCTTGAGGAAATGATGGTAACTGCCAATATGGTGAGGGAAGGGGGTTGTGGAGCCACGGATGAAAATGGGGTTTGCTGATAAATCTCTTCGCACTCCTGAACTTCCTCTTGACTCGCTCCCTTTAAATTAAAACATCCTAGTGAGCTTAGTGTTCTCACCTTGCCCTCTTCTGCTGCCTTAGTAGCCCTCACACGCACGGACTAGACTTATTTTGCATCCGGGCACTATATCTTCTTCCCCACTTCCCATCTTAATGAAGACTTCCCAGCCTTCTTTGAGATAATCAAACATCAGCCCTATCACCGCCACAGAGATTAAATTATGACTTTTGGTTGGATCTAAAAGGCGTTCATTTCGAGAGATGGGAAGAGTTCACCAAGTGATCGTCAGTTGATCTGTAACTGACATTTTGGCTTTGACTAAGCGCTCTTTAGCACAGACTCAAACTTTATACACAAGGATGTCAGTCCAGGAGATTAAGAATTTCCTCACAGGCCTGTAATATTTGCTCTAGGTCCAATTGCCAGACCAAAACATTTTCTGAAATACCAGCCTGCTTCCTACATTGGAATGGATGCTTAAGACACTTTCAAGGTATCCTGATATTACTAGGATTAAGGGCAAAATTACTAACACATTCGACAAGTCCTTGCATGCTTTTTGCCTACCATACTAGTCCTATCCAAGGCCACTGTCCTTGTGCGCCGTATACACCAGTCATGTTGATCTTTTCCATTTTTGAACATGCTATGTTCCTTCCTACCAACAAGCCTTCACTCATTTGTTTCATGTAATACCCTGGAATTATGCTTCTCCCATTCCCCATTATCATCAATTAAGTCTTTTTACTTCAAAAAATCAATTCAAACATCCTTCCCCTTTGGTCACCTAATTATATATTTTCATTCTTCATATAGTTCATATGCTTTGGTATCATACAGACTTCAATGACACATCACAGTTGTCATGAAATAATTGTGTCGTTTGCTTAATGTCTGTCTTCACATTAGAATGTAAGCTCCGTGAGAGCAGGGGTCCTATCTGACATGTTCATTATTGTATTGGCAATACCTAGGTAATATTTTGCAAATTTTAGGAATTCAATAAATATTTGTGGAGTGATTATGAGACTCTAAGAACACTTTTTTGTACTATAATGGAATTTTCAGTTCTCAGCCAGCTGACCTTCTCACCAGGCTGTGTACCGGTACCATCTGCCCCTTCCTTTAATTATCTTTCCACTATCACACTCATCCAACCTTTACCTAAGCACATATATAATACACAAATGCAAATATGTAGTAAAAGAGAGGAGCATTGAACATGCCATACACACCCTTTTACCATTTTACTTCCTCATAATTATACCACCTTATCAAAACTTGGGAGAAGAAAAGCCAGGCTAGTGAAACAAAGATTTTATAACAAAGGCTAACCTTGAGGAAATCCAGAGTACATACCAAACCTACTTTGCAATTAGAATATTATATATATTAATATATCTAGCCAACATTTCTAACAATCCATATTAATGCAATTAATATACTTGCTGTTTATTAGGAAACTAAGTAATAGTTACTTTAGAAGTATATAAGGTTAAAAAGAGTTTAAGAGTTGATAGCAATACCTTTTTAGCCAGGTCTGGACTGAGAGCCCTAGAAACATTGCTAAGAAAGTACTTGTGCGACCTCTGGCTCCTTTCCACACTCACTGTTTTTCCAATTCCAGGGCCAACTGACTAAAAATCTAATTTCCAGGCATTGTATAACATTTACAGAGGGCTATTATAGATACTGTTCTGGATAGTTGGGTTTTATGTAGATAAATGTAACTGAGTATTCCCTATCTGTAGGGAGCTTGAGAAAAGATTAGGGACTATCTCCCAGGAGAAAGGGGGCTCTGAGGAGCACTATGTACTATCTGATATCTTGCTTCATGAGGCTGTGATTATTTTCCTTAACTGCTAATTGCTTATTTTTTATCCAGCTGTATTTTTTAAATTGTCTAATTGAAATGTAAAAATGTGCAGGGAAGTGGACAAATATTGTCATTAAATTAACACAGACTGAACAAGTGTAGCCACTAGACAACTCAAAGAAATCGAACACTGCTAGCAACCCAGGGACCCCTGTATCACCTGAGCTGCAGCCTTCACTCCTTGAAGAAACCAAGTTTGCTTTTTTTTTTTTAAAGCCTCATAAAATAGAACCATTATGTAGGCATTTCTTGCCTCTGGCTTCTTTGTTCAACAATATATTTGTGAGGTTCATCCATATAGTTTCATATAACAGAAATTCGTTTTAATTATTATATAGTGCTCCATCGTATGAAAATGCCAAAAAAATGTATCTTTTCTACTCTATTTGGACATCTGGGTTGTTACCATTTGGGGGCGATTATAAGTAATGCTGCTATATGCATTTTTGAACATGTCTTTTTCATATGTGCACACGTTTCTCATGGTATATACCTACAGTTGCTGGGACATGGTATTATGCTAAACTTCAATAAATAATTCCAAGCGGTTTTTTAAAATAGGCATACCAGTTCACACTTTACTAGCAGCCTGTGAGAGTTTATATTGTTCCTCATTCTTGCCTACACTTGGTTTGTCAGACTTTCACATATGAGTCCTTTTGCAAGGTGTGTAGTGGTGGTTTACTTTGCATTTCCCATTTTGTAAATGAAATTAGTAAGGGAACACCTTTTCAGATGTTAATTGAACATGTGGATAGCCTCTTTGGTGGTATGCCCATTTTTCTATTGGGTTATCTTACTTTTGTTGATTTCGGATTCTTAATAAATTCTGGCTTTCTTTGTCAATTGACTATGTTTCAAATATCTTCTCCCACTGTGCCTTTGCCTCTTCCTTCTTAATAGTGTCTTTTGATGTACTGAAATTCTTAATTTTAATGCAGACCAACTTACCAACATTTTTCTATATGTTTAATGCTTAAAACACTCTTATACTGCCTTCTATAAATTTAATTGTTTTTAATTTTTACATTCAGATCTACAGCCCATTCAGAATTGACTTTTGTTTATGATGTGAGATAGGGTTTAAGTTTCATTTTTTTCCCACATACATACCCAATTGACTCAGCCTCTTCTATTGAAAAGACTAGCATTTCCTCGTGCTACAGCATCAACTTTGTCATTAGTTAAGTTTCTATGCACACATTAAGTCTGTTTCCACATTTTTAAATTCTGCCCATTTATCAGTTTGCATATTTTTGCAACAGTATGACAGTACCTTAATTATTGTAGCTTATATTAAGAATCAACATTTAATTGATCAATTTCTCTTACCTTCTTCATCTTCATAGATGTCTTAGGCTATTTGGGGCTCCTTAAAGTTCTATATATGTCTTAGAATTGGTTTGTCAATTTCCACAAATTATTTACTGGGATTTGATTGGGGCTACATGGAATTTATAAGTGAATGTGGGGAGAAAGACATATTGACAATAACAGTTCTTCCAATCCATGAATGTAGTGTATCCCTACATTTACCTGGGTTTTTATGTTCCTCTTAAAAATATTTTATGGCATTCTATGTAAAGGTTTTGTACATCTTTTATTAAATTTATTCCTATTTGATTTTGCTATTATAAACAGTATTTAAAATTTTATTTTATGTATTTATGTAGATAAATTGATCTTTGTTGACCTTGTATCCAGAAACCTTGTGAAAACCTATTTATTCCAGTAATTTATATTTTCCAACTTTCTACATGTCTATAACATGTCAGCAAATAGTTTTTGATGTTTGTGCTTTTATTTCCTATTCCTGCTATGCTAACTAGAAACTTCAGTACAATGTTGGGAACCAAAGAGGTGATGAGGAATCCTTTTTCTCATTTTTTCCAGAGGGAAAGCCTTTAAATTTACCATTT